TATTTTAATCGACTGACAGCCCTAATAAATATACAAATAGTGATGAATGAATAGGACATTAGTTGACATTGAACCAAAAACAAACCGGATCAGGAAAGAAACACAGAAATAATTTAGTACCAAGACCATACGTGATAAATAGCTGTTCTTGTTAAATGTTCAAGTAAGAAGGAAGGATTAGAACTTTTAATCTTTCACATCCAAAAGTTCCCGTTTAGCAGTTTAACGGCCCGTCCACACGGCAGCGTTGCGTGCTTCAACGGAGACGCTTCCCATTCACTTTGAATGGAGTGACGTCACGCTTTGCCGAACTGCATTGTGGTTCCGTTGCGTCGCTTTGCCTCCGTTGCTCGCTTCGAAAGTTGACAAAAGTTCAACTTTTCAAGCGTCGACGGCAGCGCCAGCCAATCAAATCATATGCCAGTACAAGCTCTATTCAATCAAACCGCGTGCTTGTGTGTCCGGGGCGGGAGATTAATGTGATTGGTTGTTGGTCGCGCACCAGACACGCCCACCGGCAAGCTTCAACGCACCCTGCCATGTGGACGTACCGCAGTATGCATTTTTAAGGTCACTCCCAGTGCAGTGTCTAACTACTTCATGATGTATTTGGGCTAACTTGATCTTATTCAGCACTGTAATGTAAAACTTATTATGCAATGCTGCCGTTTGGTTTTGCCGTTCTGATTTAGTAGCAACGCATTAGAAGTTATTTCAACAGGACTTATGTAGACATTTCAAAAGGAATTTAAAAAACAAAGATTGTAATAATTACGATTTCTTTCACAAAAAACACTTATCCGGAAAAGCTTGCAAATTAGATATTTCAATAAAGTGAGTGGTACAATTACATTTGGGAGAAAATAGGCAGAAGATGTCTAGTCAAGATACAGGTTTTGGCTCTTTGGAGTGACTGTTCTGCATCACTCTGTGTCTCCAGTCCTATCAGCGATAAGACACATAATATGGTTCAGACACTGGAAAGCACAACGCTGATAAGAGGCAGATAGCATCAGCTCCACAGGAAATTAATCCGAGATACAGGCTGGGCAAACAAAATGTGCAAATATGGCCTACACACACATTATGACTCACAACGAAGCACGCACATTGATGTGCACAAACATGCTGCTGAGCAGAAAACTACATCGGATCATGCACATGCAAATACACACTTATCTAATCTTAGCTGCTGCCTACAGAGCAAATATGGAAAATGTACCGTTGAGACTCGGCAATTAACACAAAGGCAGGGAAGCAGAAAACGAATTCAGGAGTGTGTAGTTTTTAATGGAAGAGAAAGTGGGGATGAAACTCCCTCAGGCTCATCGTGTAAAGAGGAATGTGCTCTTACAGCCAACTTGCCAGGATAAATAAGGATGAAAGTGTTGGGAAGGTGACCCAAAACATCCCCTCAGAAGGTCTATCTATCTATCTATCTATCTATCTAATGTGCTAGACTACCCCCTGGCAAATGGATGAAATTGGTTTGAATAATTACATTTGAAACAAAGCACAGTACAGTAGATCACGGTCTTGTAAAATTCTGGTAATTTAAAAAAGAAATGATTTTGTCAGGTGAGACGAGTGTTTAGCCTGTTAGACAAAGCTGTTCACCTTTGATGTTAAGCCTGGAGACTAAAGGGTCTATCAAAATCGTTCATTCATTAGGTATCAAAAGTTCAGGAAGACATTACTTTGGGTCAGGCCACGCTAAATTTAGAAAAAATGTGTGATACAATTCTAAAACAAAAGAAAACCCCATGATATTAACATTTTCCCAAAGGCTTATGTGAGTGCAGAGGCTGGACATATAAATGTGTGCAGTGTTTACAATGTGAGTGGAAGGAAGCGGGCTCGGTTCCCCGCCTCGGTGTTCCCGGAGGCGGGACACGGAGGAAATCACGCAACATCTTGCAAAAAACAGCGTCTGAGGGCTTCTTAACATTTAATAAACTATGAATGTGTTATATCCACTTAATGGGAAGAAACTCAGCTATCAGACAATATTAACTATTTTTAGCAAAACGATACATAAGGGTAATAACAAAGGCTCTGAATTAGCCCTGAGCGAAGAAATGCTAACACACATAGCACAGAACTCACGTTAAAATACCCTTATTACTTCTCGTATCTGCACAAACAAGATATTGATTAGCAAGCTGAGATTCCACAGATTCTAGACATATATCATCACTGAGCGATCAGAACTTGTGGCGAAATGACAACAAACAACAACAACAAAATTAGCTTTATGGGACCAAATCGGAAAATAAATCTTACCGTTGCAGTTGTTCTGATCAAAAGTTGTGTTCAATGGCATTAAAACAATAAAAACGCTGCTGAAGGTTAATCCATAGGTTAATCCAATGTGTCTGTGTCACTTTGAAATGAGTACTGATAATCCATCATTCCATTTATATGTCAATAACGGAGATTTAATATCAGCTGCTACGATAACTAGAGTGTATGACAGCTTCCGGTTCCGGAGCATTCTGGCTACGCATCACTCATTCACCAATGGGTAATGTTTAGATGGATTTTAGGAACTTCCCCTCGATTATATTGGCTTTAACGGTTACAAAGAGGTGTCAATCATCAAAATTGACTGGCCAGAGATATGGAAAATGCACCCAAATGACCCCAGAAGTGATCAATCTTGATACAGGTTACTCATTATATGTTATAGTCAGGGCTGCACATAACTGGTGCGCAGGTGCGCATGCGCACCTCCGCCAAAAAAAGAGCACCGGGTCATTTGAAACAAAGCGCATTTGCGTTCCAACATTGAGAGAGGGAGAGAGGGGAGAGAGGGAGAGAGAGAAGGGAGAAGAGAAAAGAGAAAAGAGAAAATAGAGGAGAGATGAGAAAGAGAGAGAGAGAGAAAGATATTTGCGAGTTGCATATGAACTCAGGGCCGGCCCGTAGCTCTGGCTAGATGTTCGCCTAGGGCGCCAGATCTGTGGAGGCGCTACACTGGCAGCTCTGGGAGGGAAAAAAACATTTTGACCGTTGGGGCTCATCCTAATTTTCGGCCTTGATGTAACAATATTCATAATTAAGTAAATGTAACACCCTTTTCACCCTGGTTACACAATTAATTTGCCCTGTACGATGGGTGCTGTAAGTGATGAAAATGGGGGATGTTGGCTTATCTGGCGCCCGCAGCTCACAGCCAAAGTGCGAGTGAGCGAGGGAGAAAGGGAGGGTGCACCGGTACCAGCGCTGTTGTTATTAGAATCTGGTGCCGTGCTAGCTGCTCTAACGGATATAAGAAGAAGATGTTTCTACAATAATGTGGAGGGAGAGTCCTCTCCAGTCAGACTGAGAGGCTGATAACTACAGCTCAGTGAGGTAAAGGACTCTTGTCTAAGTTCAAACGGTTTGGTCACAATTTATGTACATATTTCCAAGGCACTCCTTTGTAATTATTGGGATAAACAGGTTTTAAATCATTCCAATGTATATACTATAGGACAGTAACCAAAAATATCCTTTAAAACTGGAGATATAAAAAAAATGCATAAATAAATAAATGTTACGGTAAAATAAGATATGAATGAACAACACAAATAAAATAAGTTACATTAATTTGTTATTGGCTATGGTAGGTTATTGGTTATGTTCACATACTTATTTGATTACATCCACTTGTCTAAGATGACAACAGAGACTTTCGACCCAAACCCAGCTGTTGACTTGTGGATGCAAGCATCTAATCACAGACTCAACCAGAGAGGAAGAAGTAGGCCTACATCATCAGCTACCATGTCTGACAGAGAGGAAGACAGTGAGGAGAACAGTCAGGAGGGTAGTGATGACAGCTTGTAGGATTACTGGTCATGCTAATGTTGTCTTGTGTTCACCTCTGCATGTGTGTTCAGTGCCGTGTGTCTGGCAAATAAAGTCAAGACCCCCTCAAAAGTTACGGTTTATTTCATTTTAAGGATGAGCACCAAGCAACATCTCCAGGTGCTCCTTTGAGAACCAGGGCAAAAAAGTGATGTGCACCCCTGGTTATAGTTTAGATTCCTTAAGCTTTTTGGACGGACACTATAATTTACATTTTTTTACTATGTTCAATCTGAATTTACTTTAAAATAAAAAAAATCTATATTGATTCTGACTTTTCTACATCCAACTCAAAGGTTTATCATTGCTTTGAGAAAAAAGATTATTAATTTACCCCTTTTAGAAGTGAAGATATAGTCAATTGTTCTGGGAATGTCATTTTCGAGCCTGAGGCCTGAAAAACAGGCTCGGAGCTCAACTGGTTTAAACGATCTCAGAACACAGCAACCGGCCTGGAGGATTCAAGCAACACTGTTAGAAATATCGCAACACAACTAAAAGTCCTCATACGAATATTATAGCAAGAGAGTAAACTTAATTTGACTACCACAGGCACACATGGGATATTACTATAAGTAAATGCTGTATAAAGTCACTAAACTGGCACTGTAAAATACTACTATAGGATTATGATGAAAATAATTTAGCACTGAGGTTGACAGCAGCACAGCCGAAACAGATTGATAATCGCATTTAAGTACAGAGACAACACTAGTGTTATTAGCTGGTTATTCCATAGGGAGGCTCCTGTACAGCTACAATTTATTTTAACGAGCAAAACGGCGTTTTTGAATGGTCTCGCTTAGTACACAATGTATCATACTGACTGTGACAAGTGTGGTTGAAACCCTGCTCTTTAATAGAACCAGCCGAGGTTCTCACAGCTGACCTGGAAACTGTGCACCTCGAAGCGGGCATCACGGTTTAATCTACCGCTGTCGTCCCCCTTTACACAGACGTCACTGACACGACGCAAACAAACACAGACGGTGTGCACGTGAGGCTGACACACACACATACACACACACACACACACACACACACACACACACACACACACACACACACACACACACACTTAGGCCTGTGTAATAAGCATGTATACACGCACACAGTCCTCGGACTGCTAGCTAACTTCGCATACTCACTGCGGCTGTGTGTACTGTGCTGCCCGCTGATTGTGAAATAAGCTATGTGTGAAGAAGGCCAGTCACATCTCCTCTCCGGCTATTCTGCCGCTGTCAAGTGGCGGGATTTGTCTACCGTAGCCCAACAAACGGTCAGCTGGGATGAGACGCTCTCTATCGGGGCTTGTCTTCCTGCCTCGTATCTGTCTCGCTGTCTCCTGTCTCGCTGTCTCCTGTCTCTCTCTCCTGTCTCTCTTTCCCTCCTTTCCGTCTATGCCCGCTCCTCCACTGGTGGCTTCCCCACTGCTCGGGCGCTCCCGTGACGTCACGACGGTGGAGTGCGCGCCCCCGAGACGTTTCCCACCCCTCCTTGTCTCTCCAAGAGTACATGGTAAATCCTAATTCTCCAATAAATCGTAATTTAACGAGGAAGGTAACTAACATTTTGGAATATAATTCGTTATATTTATAAAATGTTATCATATATATCACACGTGTCTGAAAAAAAGATGATTATATATTTAAAATATTTGGCATCTCAGTGAGAATTGTGTTTTTTATAATACAAATGTATGACATAATCTATTCTTATAAGTAGCCTATTATATAATTATTCTACCTTGTTGTCTACATTGTTTCCTGTTTATAGTCGCTTATATTTGAGTTTTAAAATATTCCCAAAAAAAACATGATTTCATATTAGATTAATTAATATGTTATCATCTCATGTTGATAGCTAGTTTTAATTGTATATAACTGAAATGCAATAGATAGCATCATTAGTTTAAGATTAAGTATTCAAGGTACTAACTAGACTACATACTAAAAATACTACATTTCAGTAAATACTGCATTGAAAATATTACTAAAGGGAAATTATGAATTATTAACTAAATGTATTTTAAGTACATTGTAAGTACCCCTCTGACTTACTAATTGATATGTAAGCAGCATTTTGATCTAACATAACTAGGATGACAATATGGGTTAATGTGATTAGATCAAAGTGTGCTATAACGGTATGTTCATTATTAATGTATCTATTTTATTTCCTTACTAACTCATCTTTATAATGTGATGCTTGTTAGGGTTTTCTTCTGCACCCCCAAACACACACTCTCTCACACACACACACACACACACACACACACACACACTCACAAACACACACACACTTACAGACACAGTGTCCCAGTTCCCAGGGCGCCAGTCAGACAGCTGAAGTATAAATAGTCTGCTGGCTAAAGTTCCCCTGGAGAGAAACCCTCCAGGAGTGGTGGACCAGCGCTCCCTTCTGAAATGTGTCAGCTAACTGGATCAGTTAAAACTTTTACTGCTCTACTCCATGTATGTCACTATTCAGGGGCAGATCTACGGGGGGGCAAGGGGGGGCAGCTGCCCCCCCCCCACTGTAGAACCTTGTCCCCCCAGCTGCCCCCCTAACTTTTGTTTCCCTAAAACTGTACTAAAACTTACCTACACTATTTCCACAAGCTTCTCAAGCAACAAAACAAGCATTACATTAGTTCAAAGTGAATCATTTTAAATATCATTTTAGGCCCGTTAAAAACGCAGCTACGGCCCTGCATTAAACTGCGGAGCGGCGTTCACACAGACCACAGCTCACACCGCTGCAAAGAGGGAGCGCGAGAGCTGTCCCAGCACCTATGGATCAGCTTCCCCTGGCAGCATTTCCCTTTCCACTAGTTTTGTTTTTACTAAAGACGAGAGCTTGAAACTAAATATTAATAAAACGCTGCCGTTTGAATCGATAGCGTTTAACAGACGGGCGCTGTTTGGGGCGTTACGTTACAAAATACTACGCAGACAGCGTTAGCTGGGAGATCGATCACTTTGCTAAACTACTACTAATTAAATCCACGTAAACTACACATCACAGCAATGAGGCCAGATCAATGAAACCAAGATACATCCTTTACCGTAAAAACTGGATCCAAACACAGCTGCCTGTGTGCGCTTGATCAATACTTTCTGATGTTATATTTATGGTACACTACATATTAGCTAGGCTACATGGCCCTAACGTGTAAAGTTATACAAGCATTTGTACCAGTGCTTTTCACAAGTAGACTCTTGCAGGCCAGAGTAGCTGGAGTGATTCAACAACAACACAAAGACATATGAGAAGTGATCAGGGCGAACAGAAAGAGGAAAAGGAAAAGAGAGTTCACTGAAGAGACCAGGAGGGTCAGAGCAGGAGGAAGCCAGGAGGAGATGAAGAGACCAGGAGGGTCAGAGCAGGAGGAAGAAGAGGAGATGAAGAGACCAGGAGGGTCAGAGCAGGACGAAGAAGAGGAGATGAAGAGACCAGGAGGGTCAGAGTAGGGGAGGAAGAGGAGGAGATGAAGAGACCAGGAGGGTCAGAGCAGGAGGAAGAGGAGGAGAGAGATGAAGACATTAGTGAAGAAGAAGAAATGTATGTGAGGAATAAAGATGAAGTATCAGAAAGAGGGCCAGAGGCAGGGATCAGGAGGCAGAGGAGACTCCAGCTGGACCACATGGTATGTTCTTATTCTCCTCACATATTTCATTACAGCAGCTCAATCTAGCAGCTCTTAGTATTGACAAATATTGATTGAAATGTGTTGCTGCACAGGTCACCTCTGAAGAGATGGGTGATTTATAATTAAGTACTTACAGTATGCATAATTCTGAGTATTCTCTGAATCGGGTGCCTTTTGGGTCTTTATATCTTTGAAAAATGAAACCAAAATGTCTGGTAGTGGACTACTTACATTTTCCCACCTCAGGCACAAAATATAAATAATTACTAGGAATTTCCTTGAAAAAATGTAACAGGGTTGAAGTTTTTGACAAAAAGTAGGCATGAGACCTTGTTTATCTATGGCACCACATGGAAGTCAAGGACATTACAAAATTGTAATATTTTGCAAAACTATTGTTTATTTTGTAATAAACAATTATTTACTATTATTAATTCATACAACAGAGTTGAAATGTTGAGTTTGTCAATCTTAATCTGAAAATACAAAAACTGAAATATAGGTAAGAGAAGAAACTGACACTTTTATGATGTAATTCCCTCAATGCAGATTACACATGGACTGATCAATTATTTTTAATAGGAGGGTAAATGGTATGGCGTGACGGGGTTGAAACAAACTGAGGGACAATATTGCAATTTCATAGATAATTCAAGTATTTTTTCAGAATTTATTTTTGATCAGTTAAAGTTGACAAGCTTATGATTATATTAGCAGCAACATTTTGGGATAATTGGCCATTTTGATTTGTTTAATATTAATTTAATATGTAATAATGCTTAGTGAGGACATAAAAATATGTCTGTCTAATACTAAGACAACCAATTTTTTAAAAACAAAATATATATTTAATTTTACATTGTAATGCAAAACAACCTGTTCCATTAATTCATTGCTTTAAAATACATTTTGTAGTTTCCTTTCATTTAAAATGGTTGAGGTAAGCTTGGGGGACTCAAAGGGCACCCGATTGTTTGTCTGAACACCTTGTTTCTCTTGTGCATTAAGAACACTTGTGTTAGGGCATGAATTAACAATAAATAGGTTATATACAGTATAAAATACCACGTACTGTCCGCCCTCCCATGCCACCCTGGCATGACCTCTTGCCCCCCCCTTTGCCCCCCCATGTCAAATGTTCTAGAACCGCCACTGTCACTATTATAAACAAAGACTCTATATGGCCCCATTTTGTGATCATCAAAAACACACCCCCCAAAAAAGGTCTGGAAGCTAATCTTAATGAAATCCACTTTTATTCAGCAGTATTAAATGCATGGTTCACACATATCAAATTAGTTAAGCTCATCTATCAGATATTTTGCCTGCAGAATTGTCTCAGAAGGTGTGTGTTAGTGTGTACTCTGAACCAGGTTTAGAAACCTAGGAAGCTGTCTTAAATTTTGAATGTAAACTCATTGAAAATCTTATAAAACGGTCCTCTGTAAAGCTCAATTGATAAAGCTCCCCAAGTCCCCAAGTGGAGTACCTGGGTCTGAGTTCGACTCAGGACCATTTTCCACATGTCATGCCCTCTGTCCCCCTGTTTTAACTCTGTCTCTACAATAAATACTGCCCATAGAATAGCTGTTCTTGTTACATTTGCGAGTAAGAGGGAAGGAGTAGAACTTGTCATTTTTCACATCCCAAATGTCATGTTTAGTAGTTTAATATAATATGCATTGTTAAGGTCACTCCGAGTGCAGTGTCTAACCACTTCATGATGTATTTGGGCTGACTTGAACTTATTCAGCACTGCAATGCCTAGCTTATTATACAGTGCTGCCGTTTGGTTTTGAGTTACGTGTCATTAGTGGTTTGGCTTAGTTCCACATGCAGACATAATATTTTGTCTCCATAAAAGGGGCGTGATACTGATATGACAAATGATAATGAAAGTGTTACACTGATTTACACGTATTTAACTGAGTAGCAACCCATTAGAAGTCATTTCAACAAGACGAGCTTTTAGCTTGGAACTGTTTTGACCAAATTTAAATTAAAAACAAAGATATCAAGTACCATAAAATAAGCCTGAGAAAAAAAGCTAATATTAATTTAAACAAAATACTAGAAACCAAAGGATATTTGTTTACATTGTCTTAAATGGTTTTGAGATGAAATAAAGTTTCTATAAGCATTGTCCCCATATTTCCTAACAGTAGACATCTGAGATCTGAGAAACAGATCAGAACACTGGTTAAACAATGGTGTCATCTCCTGGTCATATGGGAGTATTGCAACATGAATGTGAATAAACTCTACCCCTGATCTACTGTACTATCTTCTACCAGTCTCCCTGATTTAAAATGAACCTCATAAGTAATTGTCAGGTCTTAAGAAATCTGCTTTGATCAGTTTCAATCTCAATTTAGCTAAAGAAAGAGCTACGAATAAAAAAATGTATAATTTCTAAATTGACTTCTTCCATAACTGCTGAACTTAGCAGTAACACATTCATTTCCCCAGCTTTTAGGGTTTTATGGTACTTGTAACTACAGGAGTGATAAGAAGCATGGTATCAGAATTCTCTCCATTACTGAAGGCCCCAAAAAAAGGGTAGAGCTTTGGTCTGTTACCAAAGGATATGCCTGCAATATAATAGAAAAAAGACTTGAGTGCTGACGGGGTCTCAATGAAGGCACATCTTGAGTAGGAGTAGATCAGAGTCCTGGTGTCCACGTCGTAGAAGGACACCTCGCCCTTCTCGTAATCGACAAACACTCCAACCTTCTGGGGCCTTTGCCTCAGGGACAGGGGAGAACGGCTACAAGTGCCTGGGAAATATTCATCTTGCGATTGGGATTTTGTATTGTTGAGTTTTAAGAATGTCCAGCCTCCCTGCTCCGGGTTGGGGAAATGTGATACAAACTTGCCGATGGACTTTTTGACCACTCCCAATACCCAACATCCAGTCCCACCGACCTGAACTTCGTAGTAGAACCTGCAAGAGGAGAAGCCCTCAGTCCCAAGGATAAAGGGTTGATACTGAAATCCTTACTGAGGAGAGAAACGATCTGGAGGTGGTAGGCCTTCATCAAACCTTAGTTGTTTCCCATCCTCAGAGACTACAAGTTTGGTGTAGGCTGTGTGGGTGTCCAGAGTCACATCGACTGCATCGTTCTGCTGGATCATCATCAGCTTGTCCTTGGGGGGGTTCCACACCTCTTCATAGAAATCATCTCTCCTTATTTCTTCAGCTGCAGGGCCTTCCCAGTCATTGCTTAAGCGTGCCTCATGACTTATCATCTCCATCTGATGCCTGAGAAGACTTCCCATCTTAGCCACTGCTTCTTTCACCATCCCCACAGAACTCTGCTGACTGAAGTCAGAGAGGTCTATTGGCATGTTGGATTGGACCAGATTTGTGTATATGCAGAGAGGTGAACAGCTCTGCAGGAAGCTGAGGTGGACCTCTGCTTGTAAAAGTTCTTCACACTCAGATCTTCTCCTCCTTAGCTCAGAGACTTTCTGCTCCAGCTCCGTCACCACATCTTCAGCCTCCCTCTGAGCTGCTTTCTGCTTCTTCTGGATCTTCTCCATGAACTCAGCCTGGCTTCTTTGCAGAGCGAGCAACAGGGTATTGAACTCCTGAGCGATGTCTGCTAACTCTTTCTCAGACTTTTTCTTTGTCCGTTCAACCAAATATTTGATTTCCTGAATATTCCTGGATTTGGTGTTTTCAATTATTTTGATCTTTGACGTCACATGGCTCAGCTGGCCTTTCTTGTCTCTGAACGCTTGCTCTAATGGGACGGCCAAATGTGAGGCATGGTTGTCTTTCAAACACATGAAACAAACACACTTCTGGTCTACATCACAGAAGAACTCCAACATCTTGTCGTGCTTCTTACACACCCTGTCCTCCAGGTTGGACACAGGTTCGATCAGCTGATGCTTCTTGAGGGTTTTGACTCTGTGATGAGGCTCCAGGTGAGGCTGGCAGTACGAGGCCAAACACACCATGCACGTCTTCTTGGCCTTGAGCTTCAGATCAACGCAGATGTCACAGGGCACCTCTCCTGGTTTGGCTATGTCCTCATCCCCATTCACCTTCATGTGGTTGAAATGCTTCAAAATGTCTCTGAACTCAGTGTTGACCTGGAGCTGTGGCCGCTTGCGGAACCTCTTCTTACAGAGGGGACACTGTATCAGGGTGCTTGTGTCCCAGTACCCTGTGATGCAGTGCTTGCAGTAGTTGTGTCCACATGGAGTAGAGACAGGCTCAGTGAACCCATCCAGACAGATTGAACACTGGAGCTGCTCTTCACATGGGGAGCTGCTGGCTGAGGCCATGTCTACACGAGAGGAAAGGATTTTATCATTAATATTTTCAATTTCAAACCCAAAAAATTCAAATCAGATAGGTTACTTACATTTCTGGCTAAACATTTCCCTCCCTACTGTAGATCCTTGATTTCTAAATTGTGCTTGTTTTTCTAAATCATTAACACTCACACACTTAAAACTAATAGTATCTAACACAATATGCAGGTCAGAGCCTAAATGCATTGTGTTTTGCAGAGGTCTTGGATTAAATGCTGTTGTATATTCTTGTTTGAATTCAATGTGTAACAGTTTGTCTCCAACACGTCTGTCCCTATGGTCTGTCCATACTGTGTTTTTTGCAGTTTACAGTTTCTGGCAACTTAAGTCGTTTTGGACAAGCAAACACTTCGAAGCATTGAATAAATCATTTTTTTAAACTATTTTAAATGGTTTGCATTTTGTTTGCCTTGATACAATAGCTTCCAGGAAAGAGTATACAGGAGAACAGAAATAACATGCAAAAGAGGTATTACTCCATGCAATGCAAACAGGCACACACAATGTGACCACAAAGGGAATCATTGTGGTCACATTAAACTACTGATTTTCCCCGCAGGGATTAATAAAGGTCCATCTTATCTTATTTTATCTTACATAAGTGTACAGCAACACACAGCTTTAGTTAAGGCAGATCAAGAGTCTCCTCAGTATTTTCACCTCAAATAACATTATGACTCACTTTCACTACTTCCTGTACTTCCCGTGGAAAGTACCAGATGATATGGGTGTTGTCTATCAGACCTAAACTGCACTTCATGACGGGGCAAAATTCTCGTTTTGGGATCAATTATCTGAAAACTGGATTTTATCGTACCAACCCATCCTGTTTGGTCTGCAAAAAAAAAAGCTTTGGAAACTGTTTTGCACTCGACTGTTTCAGGCTGTAATAATCCCTGCATTGAAACTCAAGGAAAACAACACATGAGCTCAACAGCAAACATATTATAAGCAAGTCAAAAAGAATAAGGAACACTATCATGACATGTATTATAAGACACACTTATTAAATGCAGCTATACTGGAGCTCATACTGTTAAACAGAGCCCAGATATAGTTCAATTTTTACATAATGTGCACGTATTATAACCCAATTATTTCCGTCATTCTTATTCAATGTAACCTGGGCAGAGATTATTTTAATTATATTTAAAACAAGAGTATCATAGCACTTGAACCTTACGGAGAAGTCTGTTGGAACTGACTGGAGGTTCGATGAGAACATGTACTTTCATTTATCAAATATTGCTAGAACAGAATGTACAGCATTGTATTGTCTGAAAGAAGATACCTCTGCCTCCTAATTTGTTATTATAATCTGTAACAAAGAGCAGAGTAAAGAGCTCTGATTTGACTGTGATAGAACCCTTTATAGTCTAAGTGACCAAGAAACCTTCTCCCTCAGACTCAAAGGGCCCTATTCTGCTCATTTTCAGGTTCATATCATTATTAAGTGTCTCTACTGGGACATGTCTCCATGCTTTAATGTTCAAAAAGCTCTTTATTTTTCTCATACTGCCTGTGCTGCAGCACCTCTTTTCACCCTCTGTCTGAAACCAGAGCCCAGTCTGCTCTGATTGGTTAGCTGGCCAGCTCTGTTGTAACTTGTTAAAAGCTTAAAGATGTCCCGCCCCTTAGCCTATCACCTACAATGTGTTGGAGTGCTAGCCAATAGAATCGTGAGTGTTATAGTGATGTCATTATGTAGTTGTGTGGGTGAGAAACTCCTCCATCTGGAGGGAATACAAGGATGTTAGCCGTTGCAGACCATTTTACCATACATGGATAACCAGGTTTGGGGAAGTAACGGATTACATGTAACGGGATTACGTAATCAGTATACAACAAAAAGATAACTGTACTCCTTACAGTCACATGAACAAATATGTAATCAGATTACTGGTACATGTTTTAAAATGGCGATTACTAGCAGGATTACAATGTTATAATGCGTTTTATAAACAATAAAATATTATAGGTAGACGTTGTTGGGGAAATATTTTCCTTATTAAAAACACTTATTGATATATATTTGCTCTTGTATCTGCATTGCATTTGATATTGAGGTTATCCAAAAGTATCAGAAAGTAATCAGGTTACATAACTTTTTAACGGAATACATTTTTAAAGTCACCCTCCCAACCCTGTATAAAACACACTATAGGAAAGGGAAAACCCAAACAATGTAATAGAGCCCCTTTAATAAAGTACAACATATTCCAAAATAATACAGTAAACTCAATCGTGATGCGTACACTTTTCTTTTTTATTGATTTTGTTTGTTTAAAAGAGCACCTGTTAGATGAATGATGCGACAGGGTATACCATTTTCTAAAACATTGCATTATGCTTTATATATTGCGTGTGTATTGAATGAAAAGTATATTTTACACCTCTGTTTTATTACTATTATTGTAAGCTATGAAATGATGTCATCATATAATAAATGTTTATATGTGTTTGTATGTGTGACCCATGGTGGGTGTGTGTTAGTGTGGCAGTGCAGTCTAAAGGTATGTAGTCTGTGTGTGTCAGTGAATGCGCATCATGAGCCATGGGAAGTATCCAGTGCTCTGCATGGCGAAGGTACTGATGAAGAAGTTGAGGCCTGTAGTGATGAAGACTATGATGGTCGCTACGTTGTTCAGGTAATCCAGACGTGCCTGCAGGGTGGCGTTATTCAGGTTCCGACGGCCTGTGACACACACACACACACACAAACACATATGCATGCACAATAGAGAAAGACAGTGTTCAAACTACATTTTGACAAACTAAAGGGCTACTATTCATCTCTCCTTTAACCACACCATGCTCCAACACACACACACACACACACACACACACACACACACACACACACACACACACATACACAATCTTCAGCAAGAATGACAATGAGCATTGCATAGGATTTAGTTAAATTACTAGATTTATTCAGCTCTTATATACATAATCAAGGGATATCTCTTATTTTTCTCTATTTATGGCATTGAACCACAGAATCCTTTTCTAAATCAAACTCGTTTTCAGAAGAAAATATATTACACTTTTTTTAACCACTAACCAAACAATGGGGACACTAAAACTGTTGTCAAAACACATACTTGAACCCATGCAGAGTTTATGCAAACTATGTTATTGCATAAAATAAAATAATGCATATACATAGATATTTTGTTGGTTAAAGGGGAAATATTTTAGTTGGATTACAATGTGAATACATTATAAAAAGGATCAAATAAATGAGAAGTGATATTTGATCTTATGCAGAATTGTGAATATAAACTTTGAATCAACATGTTGATGTGTGAGTTTATGAGGGTGTGTCAGAAGTGGAGTCGAGCCAGCAGCCAGCGGAAGAAGCCAGTCCTCTTAGAGCCGAAGAAGCTGACGAAGAAGTTTATCACTGTGGTGACGAAGATGACGCCTGTAGCAAGGTTGTTTAGGTAGTCCAGACGTTTCTGATTGGACACCACGTTCAGGTCCCTGCGGGCTACAACACACACACACACACACCAACACACACACAAACAGACTATTTCAAACACTTCAAACACATCCACACACACCTATAGAATTGATGCATCCATACTCACACATCCACACTCAAACTTACCAGGCACGCATACAGTAGGCCTATTGCACCCATAAAAAGGCTTTATCATTCAGTCACACTGTCGAGTTTATTCTGACCCTAACTCAACAAATATAATTGACTGTAATGCATCTTATTGGTTTCTAAATTGACGATATTGAATCTTCTTTTCTTTAACTGCTCAGTACCAAGTTATTCAGAAGCCTTATTTTCGAGAGTTAGACCAGTGGTTCCCAAAGTGGGGGGGCGTGCCCCCCCTGGGGGGCGCAGAGGCATGACAGGGGGGGGCGAGAGACCAGGAGGAAAAATGGTTATTAAAAAAAAAGAAAAGTGATTTGTAAAATATCCATAAAGAAAAAGTAAATCTGCTTACAGTTCTGTTTCATATGCATGTTGAGAGAGGTATCCATAGATCTCTTAATTTTGCTCTCAAAGTGCACCAGATTGATGCTTTTAACTTCAATATTTAAAGATAAATCTTCCCGGGGGAGCTTGCCCCCAGACCCCCGTATGTGAGGTCCACACACCACCTATAAAAATAGCACTTTACCCCTGCTTACACCTATATGCCGTGAGCTGATTATCGAGCCTTCATTGTAACACTGTGTATATGCGTGGGGTTGCAGTAGAAAATTCCACTGTAGCGACCGTTACCTTAATGGGAAACCCTAAATGTTTGAGCATCCTCTATGAAACGTCAAGCTACCCCACAGCACCCCCAAAATAAATATCTGGCGACGCCACTGAGCCTGACTTGTGTTGGGGGGGCCCGACTTTTTTTTTTCTCCAAAGGGGGGGCCTGACAGAAAATGTTTGAGAACCACTGAGTTAGACGATAAGATTGATACGACTCATAGTTTTACAACAAACATTTAACTGGAGCCAGCAGCCTATTAGCCTAGCAAAAAAACTTGAAAGGTACTTTAAATAATAATAATATATGTTGTGAGCAGGTGAGCTAGTAGGCAGCCTTGGTTACACTTGAACACAGCCATGCTAGCTGTTTCCCCCTGTTTTGTGTCTTTTTGCTAAGCTAACTAGCTGCTTCTAGACGGGGACGCATTCTCCCAAATGTAGCCTTGAGGCTTAATGCTTAACCAAACTTTAAGTGTGAATATGTGTATGTTTGTAAGTGTAAAAGTGTAAAACCTTAACAGGAGGTTAAAGTGTAGCATTTTGTTTAGCAACTGAATGGATAAAGATGAAAGCTGCTTCTGTATGTGTAGGATTTAAAACATCAGTGCCTCCTGGTGGTTGTGTTAAGAATGACAGTTTGAACTTTTAAGCTTTCACATAAAAAATATAATGTATGTAAGCTTGAGGCTTTTGTATATAAATGTACGCACAGTGATAAATCTACTGATTGTGTTTCAGAGAATGAAACGCTGAAGCAGCCATCGCAGGAAGCAGCTGCGCTGTGTGCCAAAGGCGGATTTGATGATGTTGACGATGAGGGTGAGGAAGATGATGCCGGTGATCAAATTATTCAAGAAGTTTAACAACCGCTGATAAGAGGACAGGACGGTCATTTCGCAACGAGCTGCACACACACACACACACACACACACACACACACACACACACACACACACACACACACACACACACACACACACACACACACACACACACACACACACACACACACACACACACACACACACACACAAGACACACACCTATTTGGTACCCCTGGCTCAGTCCATTCATACTATAAATGAAGAAATAGTACAGAAAATGTTTGTAATTGATTAGTACTTTAAGTAGAATAATAAGTCCTGAGTGTGTGTGTGTTGTGTGTGTGTGTTGTGTGTGTGTGCGCGTGTCCGTGCGTATGAGTGTGTAAAGAGTTTGAATACATCTAAATCTTTCCCTACTTTGTAAAAACTCCACATATCTGAATTATTCCCTCACAAGTCACAAGGTCAGTAATGCATCCTGGCAAAGAGGCCGGTGCGCTCCATCCCGAAGACGGTGATGAAGATGTTGGTGACGAAGATGAGGAAGATGATGATGGTTATGGTGTTGTTCAGGCTGTCCATGCGCTTCTGGTTGGCCTCTTCATTGATGTCTCGCCGAGCTGCAACAAGCACGCACATGTACACACACACACCAAAAATAACAACAAAACTACATAGAAGTGGCAGAGAAATATTCCAATGCCTGTGTTCTTTCATGAGTCTTTTATATTCATAGTGGTTGCTTTCAGCTGTTTCCTGACAAAGCAGACCAGAAAGTAACCTGGACTCTCACTGCACTGCGTGTATTTTAAAAGTATATACATAGTAAGTGAATTAGTATGTTATATGATTGGTTAAAAACATGGAGGATGGAGAGTACACCATTTCTTAAGCTTAATGCTGCAATTTGATTGGCTCACCAATGATGATGATCAGGACTCCAGCCACTATCTGCAGGGCCAAGGAGAAGGAGATGAGTACCAGGACAGCAACGTAGTACCTGAAGAAGAGGAAGGAAATATATGTGTGTCAATAAATACTATATGATATGATGCATCAGGGAATGTGACGTTATTGACGTCCGTATATATATATATATATATATATATATATATATATATATATATATATATATTCTGCAGGATTAATAAACATTCTTTAATTTTAACTGAATTTGCAGCAAACCTTCAGACTAATATTGCAGATTTGCCCTCGGCCTGAACTCTCTAACACACACGCACGCACACACACACTGTACACACACACACACACACGCACGCACGCACAAACATACACACACACACTGTACACACACACACTGTACCTGTATCCAGCTCCCTGTTCGATGACAGTCTTCATGTGTGTGATGTTAGCCAGGAACAGAGCGATGTCCAACATGCCCTCAGACGCTGTCTTCTTCGTAGCATACAGGTTCATGTTCAGATTAGAGGGTGAACCTCCCTGAAGAAGAAGATGAAGGACAATAGATAGACCATAAGTAAAGAAAATAAAAGGTCTCAAGGTTTCAAAGGTCATTTATTCAGAAACTAGTTATTCACAACGAACTGTCCAAGAGAGGGCAGCAAAAACCAATAATACTATCACTTCATACTGCCAGGAAAAAACATTTATTTCTGATTAAATGAAGTTTGTTCATTGTATTACTTATCTATTCTATAACCAAAATACCAAGATATCAATTCAATCTGACATTATCCATCAAGAGAAAATCCATATAATGATTTAAAGATGAAATTCCACGTATATTATTTTAACATTGTAATTGTTTTTTCTTTACAATATATTTAGTCTCAGGAACCCCTCCACTCCACTCTCTTATATTTGCAGCTCAGAAACAGAAAACTACATTCTTATCTATTGTGGCTCATTTATCGTAAGATCTATAATTGCAACACATTTTCCAAAATGAAGTAGTTTTTGAATGATAAAAAGCTGTGTGTGTGTGTGTGTGTGTGTGTGTGTGTGTGTGTGTGTGTGTGTGTGTGTGTGTGTGTGTGTGTGTGTGTGTGTGTGTGTGTGTGTGTATGTATGTGTGTGTGTGTGTGTGTATGTATGTGTGTGTGTGTGTGTGTGTGTGTGTGTGTTAAGAGAAGAAAACCCTTCCTCTTAAGCCCCACGGACCCGTATCCGGGCCCGAAATCGCGTAATTTGCAGGAAACAACGTCTAAGGAACCTTCATATTGAATAAACTATTAATGTTTTATATCCATATAACGGAAAAAAACTAATTTAACTGATCTTTTTCATTTAAAAAAAAAAAAAAACTCAAAATGCGTGAGCCTCTGAATTAGCCCCGAGCGAAAAATGCTAACCTATTACTGCACCGAAAATCACTCCTAGCACCCTTATTACTTATCCTAGCTGCACAATCAACACATCGTGTATGATCGTAAGTAGACACAGAATCTAATGGTACCCACCTCAACACTAAAAGATCACAAATTCGTGGATACAATAACAAAAACCTACATCAAAACATGTGGCGCTAGGTAGCCCAAAACGCTAACATGGTTTACCTTGGTCTTAGGTCTGGTAAAAACTGGTCTTCAATGGCATTAAAACAATAAAAACGATGGTGTAGTTAATCCATAGGTTAATCCAATGTGTCTGTGTCCCCTTTAAAATGTTCTGATAATCCATAAGCAATAAAACAGCTTTTCCGTTTCCAGAAATCAGAGCAGGGATATTCCTACACTCTGCAACCAGATTGCATTAACAGAGACGCCAGCTTTTTTTTTAACATGAGAGTCTATGGGACGATTTCCCTTCAATTCTATTGGCTCTAACGGTCAGGAAGAGATGTCACATGTCAAAATCGAACAAGGGGGGCCAGAGATATGGAAAATCCACCCAAATGGCCCCAGAAGAGGTTTTTTTTGCTAAATCTGTCTAAAAAGGTCAAATATATCTTGTTTTGCATCAATCTTGATACAGGGTACTTATTATCTGTTGTACTTTGGATTCCGAAAGCTTTTAGTCTACTAACCCATCATCCAAGGTTAGTTTTCACTATAAATACAAAATATTTTTTGGACGGACACTATAATTTACAGTTTTTTTACCATGTTCAATCTGAATTCTCTTTAAAATAAAAAACATCTATATTGATTCTGACTTTTCTATGTCCAACTCACAGGTTTATCATTACTTTGAGAAAAAAGATTATTAATTTAACCCTTTTAGAAAGGAAGATATGGTCATTTGTTCTGGGAATGTCATTTTCGAGCCTGAAACCTGAAAAACAGGCTTGGGGCCTAAAAGGTTAACATCATTACTAAAAAGCCATAATGACTCATAGCGCGTCAGGGACTAAAAATGGTCCAAATCTCATTAGAGCGCCGTTATAGTGCACAGACAGCAGATGCAGAGATTGGATTACAGAGCTGCTGTATGGATTATATACTGTATACATAGATGTCCTCAAATGGATCATTTAACCTGAGGCTTTGTCAGTTGAAACAGAGCAGTCTGTTTTTCTTTAAGCGCCACAGAAACAGAGATGTGTTGAGGGAAGAGATAGATCACATACATAAAGCCAATCATGTGGAGCCTATGGGAACACATTGTATTTCATGGGCTCACTCTGCTGTTATGTTCCATACTGCTCCAAAATAAACAGAACGTCCACACTGCATGAACAGTAATTATTCAACAGGGCAGTTTCTCAGTGTGTGCTGCCTCGGTTTTTTCCAGTGTCTAGTGGTTTTACAACTCTTCATATGGACTTATTATTTTGACTTTCAATAGAAATGTAAAAGAACAACAACTCAAACGAGTATCATAAAACAAAAATCCTAGAGGTTAGCGCTTGAAGACAATACTAACAACTTATTTTAAATTGTTTTTTGATAGGGGGAAATTAGCCCATAACCCTGTATAGTCTACATCTTTTTAGCTTTAACAAATGAAAACTAGAAACTGGGCTAAAACCAGTCACTGGGTAAATGCATGTAAAATATGCAGGAGGATGGTAGATTGCTCTTCACTCAATCTACAGCCATTTGCCTGGGTTGTTGCACCGTGCACACAAGGAAGCTACATTTGTGGGCAGAGCACATGTTTCTGTGACACCACCATGCTGCATGTAAACAAAATTGTAAGTAGATAAACAATGGTACGACAAAACTACAGGGCAGTTCAGCAGGAGTGTTTACCACCACTTCATTCTTGCCTGTTAGTTCTGGCTCACTTCCTCCTGAAAGAAGACGGACGTTTGGCAGATTGACTTTGGTACGATGAATGCTCCGTGTTATATGAGGTATATGGCTTATCATTACTGGGCCTTAACTTCTGGAACAAGATGTTGACATATTCTGATGTTGGTTTTGGACTTTTCGAAAGCCAACAAAATAAAACATACTCTCTGTTTTATATTTTTGGATAACCTGCACCTTGCAGGATCCAAATGTTTACCCGGAGTTTAATTTCAAGTCTTAATAAGCACTTTTCTGTGAACATAAATTTAACCGCCCTTTTTCTGTGATTCCTGTACACGTGATGTATTTCTGACCTGGAAATCTTGATTTCATCCCCCCATAGAGTCTATGTAAGAGTACAGTTTGATCCAAACTGGGTTGTTCTCCAAGAAAGTATGAAGCAATTCCTGGAACTGTGAGACTGTCATAACACAGTGAACACGTGTACTGTGGGCTTTTGTATGTTTTTCTGAGTGTGTGAGATACAGAGAGAGAGAGAGAGCTATGTAGAAGGAAAAAAAAAAAGGAAAGTCAGAGCTGGACGTGAGTAAGTGGACAGAGAGGGAGTGAGAGAAAAAGCATGTATATATATATACTGTATACTGGCCGGGGTCCAACTTTCTAAACACAATCAAAACATTGGACTGGCCTACTTTACAGTTGTGCGTGCCATGTGTCTTCACTATAACGTCTCTTTTAAAGGCACTGACTGTGCGCTTATCATGCTTACTGTAATCTGAACCTTTCTTGATTTATTATTATTTTGCTCTTTGTTTCACAGGACAGTTAGGAGAGGGATATCACTTTATTTACAGGGAAGAAGTGGTTGCGGGGGGTCAGAGACCAGAAGCTGGGAATTACCGCCGGCCTCAGGGCTACATCAGGAATGTCCAGGGTTGACGACCTGGCTCTGTGCTTTTGAGGAATGAGAACATTTCTGTTTCCCTACTCGTCTGTAAGTAACCCATCAATTACAACTTTTTTTTTTTAATCATTCAACAGCTGGGCATTATTAAGGGTCAAACAGAGACAGGATATTAGTGTTTTATCGTCCTGGGCTCACTGGATGTTGTCCAGTCCTCTGGTGGATTTGGGCGTTTCTCTCTTAAGACTGATACTAATCATCAGCAGTCTATAAAACTTTCTTTTCATTGCGTATTGCTTAAATATTAGAAATACTATACCCGCACTACACAGAATGACTCATGTCAACACACGTTCAAAGATGAATTAGGGACAAGAACACTGCTGCCCAGCACCTGCAAGCAACTTCTGGATGTGCATATGCACAATATACTGTAATAATTGATGGCTTAATGGACATGATATTTAACCACACTGTTTTGAATAACTTTAGTGTTATGGTTGAAACCTGCATGTACAACAAAAGCATGTATCTATGATGCTCAGAAATCTGATTATTTGACAAACTGATCTTGCATTAAAGACACCAAGTTCAACCAACTTGGTGTCCTTAGCAAAATCACAAGCTGTGCACATTTATTGTTTTTTTTATTAGTTTCATCATATAACTGTATACAACTGAGTGAGTAAAATGCACAGAAGTCTTTTTCCCACTGTTATTTCTGGACGTATGGTATTTATAAAGTTGACACTTCTATAAAATCCAGAGTCCTTGTAAAACTTCCATTCCCAAAATCACTGATCCACAACCCTGGGACTGGGCCATATCACACACACACACACACACACACACACACACACACACACACACACACACACACACACACACACACACACACACACACACACACACACTAAAGATATACACATACTTAAAACACAGATATGCCCATTTGTGCCACCAGTTTACACAAAAACAACTGCAAGTCAACACTTCTAACTGCACATTAACACACACACAAATATACCCCTCGACCTCACAGGAAGTGCTCCTCCCCTTCACTCCTATTGGTTGCAATATTAGCCAATAGGAAGGGAAGCCCTACTAGGAGTGGAGCTCTGGTTTTCTTTTAATATCTTGTTCTTTTTTTCACTGTCAGTCCGTCTTTCCATGTGTCTGTCCACTGCTGGCTTATTTGACTGGGCTTTTTTTCCTTCTGTACGTTTTCCATGTCTCTCTCTGCCTGAAGCATCATCTTTCTGTTTGGTTTTTATTGGAATGCTATTTAGGGTGAGGGGGCAGAAAGAAAGTGAAAAGCAGATCTAGAATCTAGTATATGACACAGAGAAGAAGAGTCAGCATGAAGAGAGGAAGAGAGG